GAAACAAAGAACGAGGCAAACCAGGGCTAACATCAGTTTGGCATATTGGAGATGGAGAGCATTAAAAACATCCAAAGGAATAAAATGTGATGCCAATGTGGCTTTCTTTCTGATAGATGTACAAGTACTGTAGCTGCCTGTATGTCGGCCTCATTAGCAATCTAACATTAGTTTTTTAATGTTGTACCTTTTGTAATTTGGAGTCATTCCAACTGACTACAATGTTAGTGTTTTGTGGTCCAAAGAAACCAGCGCATTTTCCTGGATTTTGTTAATTTTTGCTCAGTTTTGGTCCAGTTGATGTCAGACATAACGCTGCAGTCCATATAGTATTTGAGAAGTTATTAAAATATACAGCATCAACACGACTAGAAAAGTGGGGAGTTTGTTCATCTGTCAAAGCGTAACATGTAATTTGTCTCATTTCACATAGAACCTATGGTTATGTGTGTCAGCTATGTAACATTGAACGTGATGTGATAGTGGCCGGAACATTAGTATTCTATCAATATTACTGCTCAAGTTTGTCTCACTTGGCCCTTAATGGTCAAAAATTAGAGGGAGAAACATATGTGAATGTTTTTCATGCAAGTGGTTGCACTAATGTAAATGTGTGTGTGTGTGTGTGTGTGTGTCTCTGTGTCCGCAGTGCTGACAGGCTATGATAATGGCATGAAGTGAGTCTCAATGTCAAAGATGGAGACACTGATACAGATGGAACAAGGGGAATGGTCAAGGAGAGTGGGGCACTATTCTATTATTCAAGTTGTGTACTCATGTATACACATCTGCCCATAGCTATATTTTAATGTCATCATTATAAGGAAGTTCTCTTTTTTTTTTGTTGTTGTTTACATGATATTGTGAATTTATTTAGCTCACCCTGTACTTACTTGAGCAGACGGTAGGTTCCAGAGATGCTCAAAGGCCAGTCACTGATCTTTGTTGTAGTGAGACTACTTAGTGGCTTGTTGTGGGTGTGTTTGTTGAACATTCTTCAACTTGAAGTTGTTGGACTTTGTTTATCCAAATAGTTTTTCACAATGAAACAACATCAGCTGCTCTTTACATGGAGTGTTTGTGTCATTAACAATACTATTGAAATTACCAAAGGTAATAAAAAAGCAGTACTTCATTAAAGTTTCTCATGTATCATAGAACTTACATTGTAGCAACACTGTCACCATGTGGTCAAAGTGCAGACGACATAATTTAGAATCTAGAGCAAGGCTAAAGCAGTTGAAATGTTTGGTTAAACAAAAAAAAGAACTGTTACTCAGTTCTTTGTTTCCCCAGTCAGTCATTCATTTATTTATAGAAAACCCCCGAATATAAAACATCCCCGCATTCTCATGACCCTCTTGATCTTTTTAAGTGTTAAAGCTAGAGTATGTAACTTTTTAAAATATTTATATTGTAGTAATCTGCCCCAAAACCTGTGTTAATGTGGAGAGGTGCTGTCGAAGCCTCCTGTGACCCAGGCTCATTGAACAGTACGGGCAGCAGTGCAGAGAGATTAGTTTCTAAAAGGTTTTGAGCTGGACTGACCTCTTTAATCAGTCAGAGATTTTCAATTATTTCAGATTGTGCAGTAAGTTTTGTTGCATTCTCATTTATTATAATTTCACAACAAATATCTAAAGAGCTGGGCAGAGCATGGTGGAGTATAGCACATCGTAGCACGGTGGAGCAGGGAGAGGGAGCGCTGGGCGGAGCAGTGCGGGTTGATTCCCCCTCTCCTTGTTTTATTACAGACTATAACTGGAATTTCATTTTTTAACTAACTGCATATTTTAATTGTGTTAATCAAAAACAATTTGACATGACATTTCACAGAGACCTCTGAAAGTATTACAGTACACCACATTAACTTTGGCCTTCGACCTTTAAACTTTCACCAACAGTCCACACACAAACCAATGTTCTTTTGCCATTATACCGCGTGCTGCTTACCCCCAAAACACTTTCTCTCTCTCTCTCTCTCTCACACACACACACATACACACGAACACACACACGTCTCTCTCACATACACAAGCCTCTCCTTGTGAGCTGTCGCACAGGGGGTCGCGTCACATGGCATGGGATACACCAAGAGTCTTGATTGGAGGGCTGTGTGAACAGCAGAGAATCTGACTGGACACTGGAAGAGTTCCCCAATTGGATGTGAAGTACAAAAAATGTTGGGGATGAGTCCTTTTTCAGCAGAACATGAACAAGACATTAATCTACATTTATAAGAAAAATAAAAATCCACCACAACGTATCAGCTTATCTTTGCACATAAATACATAGGAATAATAATAATAATATATTCAACATTGTGCTTTCTGTCTCTCACTCTTTCTCATCACCGCACCATTGTCAAATGCGTCAGCCACTAACTTTACTCATGCAATTTCAAACTGGCTTAAAAGTTTGACATCACTACCAATGTAATTTCTTATTAAAGAAATGTATGTAGAAGTACACAACTAATAACTTTCTCCATTTAGTGAATTAGTAACCTAAACTGAATAGTGTTCTCATTTAAATGCAGGTGTTGACACATGCTTGGGCTAACGGCATTTTCTTACATTCAAGCTCTTTTTTTAATTAATTAAAAAAAACACTTTTTTGCATGAATCCTCTGTTTCTGGATGTGGCATCAAAATGCAGGGTCCCTTTTACAGGCTTCGGTCAGTTCAGTTTAATTCCATCTCTCTAAAGAAGGTACATAAATAATGACAATGATTCCATACTTCTGAAATCCACTCGCAGACCTAGTTCGTTCTTGTTATCAGGACCTGGATTCCAAAAGAGCTTTAGCTTTGATACAAGGGACATTTTGGTACACAGTTCTCTGTATGAATTAATGGACACACCAAATGTGAAATAAGAATGCCATTGAAGGCATATTGAGAACTGTATGGCAACAGCACAATTAAGATCATATATCCATCATATAAATTATACTGAGTTTGAATGAATGTGAAACATAAATGCATGTTTTATCTTTCAAGGTCAGTTGCTTTGTTTCATATGACTAGGCTATGATATAATAAAGGATCATACCACAGGTAAGCTCTTCATTTGGGCCTTTACACACAATGGACACTAGGGGGCAGGCTACACACACACCATGTTAGCACAGACAAGTTTTTTTGTTAAGATAATACAGGCAAAGACTGGACTAAAAGACGGAGAGGAGGAAGACCTTATCATACTAATTGTCCATTAGGAAGAGATAACATAAGTCATTTACTGCTTGCAAACCAATAATGGTAAGATGATGTCATGGGGTAGGACTGGATAAGTCTGACTTCTTCCTACTCCATTCAAGCATGTACTAGGTATAAGCAAATTGATATTGGATTATGTGTACAATCATGTGTGTTGTCATATCAACTGTCTTTACATGCTTGAAAGAATAAATCAAATCAAATAAAACATTGTTAAGCAGCAAAAGTCAAATGATATTGACTGTAACACTACATTGTGAAGTGATTACAACAGTGTATGAAGTCAGAAGTTTTTTTGTTTTTGTTTGTTTTGCCATAAGGAAAAAAAACGTTGTAGGTAGCACAGCAGAATAGCTTTTTGTGCATTTTCCTGTGCTGAATGAGAAGTCGGTGACATAGTCATCTCGTATTATTTGCATATAGTGTATGTGCATTTATGTCATATGCAAGAAAAGTGTAAAAGAGCAAAGAGTAGAAGTACTACATAGAATACAAAAAAGCATAGTTTCACTCATAAATACCATGCTAATATATATGTACTGTACTGTAGCCCAGTATTATGGGTTGTCACAAAGATCTTTTCCTCCTCATCCTCATTGTATTAAAGTTTCCCACCCTAACCACCATGTTTACGATTTCTCTTAATGCGCAAAACATTGAACACAGCCAAAATTAAAACCAATAAATAGTTTGACTGAGGTTTGGATCATGTCAAAAATCATATTTTATGTATAGTTCTACTCCTTATTATAATATTTCAGTATTGCAAAAACTTCTTTTGATTTAATTCAGGTCTTATATGACATTTAATTGGTTTTTGGACACTGATTACTTTGTGCTTCAGCTTGCCTGTGTACTGTAAACATCTCCTCTTTTTCTCACATCATGGAATGCCAGTAGTTTTTCCACCCCTCACCCTCTAGTGGTTTGGACCAGTAAAGCAGTATAATTATATCTGGTCAGATACAGTACGACTGCTCTCTTACCATGACTGCACTGTACTGTGTGATTTAGTTTGCTGCATCATGTCTCATTGTGCTTAAGGACACTGCTAAAAAACCTACTATATATTCTGCAACATGCTGATCTGTTCCACAGGCTGCCCCATGCTGCTGGCATCTCTGTGTCATCCTGACTGCATTATGTAATACACAGACAAAACCATATGAAAAGTGAGGTCAGTGGAAATATGTGCACTAACAGCATCACGGGAAGTTGATCATTTCATCTGTTTGTTCAAAAAAATATTTATCAGTCTGCATGCTTGGGCTCTTGCACATAAATAGTGTTTCCAGTTAGAGACCATTATTCTGTGGTATATTCCAGTTGTCACATTTTTCCATTGTGCACAACACTGAAGTCTACAATTTTTCTACATTGGTATGAAAGAAAAGCCACGAGGAGAGTTCATCTGAAACTTTGGGGCTGTTTTTGTTCTAAGCGGTGTAGTCCGGAGAGTAGGTATGTATACTGGCCCACTATCCATACAGTACGTAGCACATGTAGCTGGCATGTAGAGACAAACTGTTTGGATGTGGTCATCTTAAGCTGGGAGCCCATGATCCATCTACAGTCAGTAGCAAAGGGAATTCCAGGTGAGTGTAAGGTGGCTTTACTCCCATGTATCAGCCTCACCGCTCGGCTACGCTAGTGGAACCATGTAAAGGGATCGTGCAGAATCAGTCCGGGCAGTAAGGCAGCACATGCAGGGGCTTTCGAGTGGGATTGGGGGTATACAATGGGGGTATTCATAGATAAATATACACAATATAGGAGGTGGTGTGTTTTTTGTGTGTGTGTGTGTGTGTGTGTGTTTCTGTGCCTGGGTGTATCTGTATGCGTGAACAGGAGTTCTTGGTGTCTCAGTCTCTTTCGATCACTCTCCGCCTTTCTCCTTGTATCTTTTCTCCCAACATCTTTCTCTACGTTGTTACTCTCCTGCGCTACGTGGTGCCCGAGGGTTCAGTTTGCCGTCATGGGTCCGGCGATTTCTCCCTTTTCTTATCTCCTGAAGATGTTTCCACTTCTTGTTAGCTGGGCGAACAGCAGGGCCCAGAGGTGGGACACCCTTTCCTGGAGCAGAAAAGATCTTATCCACCTGTTCACTGCCAGCATTCTTGCGTGCCCAAACTTGCTCACAGATTTGATCGACGGCACTCAGGTTAGGGTGGTCCACCAGCTGCATGAAGTCCCTGTACCAAAACTTTTGATTGGTCATTGGGGTCCCCCCTCCACTGCGGGGGTCTAAACGGAAAGGGGCGTCGGAGGGTAGATTGGAGACTGAGGAGGATGTTGAGGACACAACCTCCAAGGTGATGCCTAGTAGGGTTTGGGTGAAGCCATGTTCCATAGCATGGCATTGATAGGTGCCAATATCTCTCTTCAGGACACGACGAATCAGGAGACCTCTGTCTGTCTGGAGGATGCGGTCATCTAAGCGCAACTGGAAAACAGAAATAAGATTAACAGTGCGAATTTCTGTCATTCTGCTGTCTGTCACTTAATGTAAAAGTTAGTATCCACACTGCACTGTACATGTGATGATGAATCAATCTGGATAACTAACATTTTGATGGCTTCTTAATTTGATAACATACATGCTCCTGTAAAACCTTTTTGTAAATGTTGATGATATACATCTCTCTCCATATGTTCACATCCTTCTCACCTCTTCTTGTGGGTTCTGTGGATGTTTCTGGAAGGTCCAGGAGACTCTGGCTTGGAGAGATTTAGGGATGCACTCCAAGAAAGTGCTGCTACCTTCAACTCCATACAGCTTTCTCTCTGCCACACGGTGCTTATGATGGTCTGCAGGGGGCAGCAGAGACAAAGAGATTATGGGTTTGCTGTAAATCAGGACGTGCTCACAAGACCAGGAAAGGTCAGGGCAAAATGGGGATGGGCAGAACAATGGAGAAAGGTCAGAAGAGAGATATGGAACAGAAACACATGAAACTCATAGTGCTTAGCTGAGGAATCCATGAAATATGTGCCCTGATGTATAAAAATGTATTAAAATAGATGTATTTTTGCCTTGAGATCAAACTGATTTATGAATTGGCATCACAAAAAATGTGGCCTATAATACTGTATGTGTAATATTAAACAAGGATGTTACTGTCTTGGCAAAAGTTTGTCATCACTCATTGTCAAGATACATGACAATCTAAAACATACTCCTTAGTGGGCTTAATTATACCCACATTTCTACAAGATTTAAGACATTTACAAAGTCTACAAACCTTTTTGTATGTCAAGACAAGAATAGGATCAGAATAACCAGCAATATAACACAGATGAGTAGAGCAACAGTGGTGTGTAAACTACCACAAAGACCCCAATCAGTGCATTGCAGTGTCACTTTCATAAGAGACGATTACTCTGACCTTCATTAGTTTTACACAAATCGGGTTGTGTGCCGCATGATGTAACCATATTACTCAGAAGCTTCTTCAGTTTGAGCGGTTAGCTTGATTAAGTTATGTGTCAGAAAGACAGACAGCGGCATAATGCCAGTATTGTGGTCTGGGAGGTCAGGGGTCACAACAGATAAGGGGGGTGGGAGGATTTTGGATTCTTTGGCAAAGGGACAATGAGATGTCAAATGCCAACAGACTCTGTGAGTCAGAGTAGGACTGGAGCAGAGTCTAAGTTTTACTGTCTTTGTTAACTTACCTCTGTAGCAGTTGACAATAGTCAATCATCAAAACTGCTTGAACAAGTGAACGGTTAGTTACCAGAGGTGCTGTGGTTTAATTTGAGGCCATAGACTATTAATAAAGTTCCAGATGTACCTACAAACTACAAAAATATGATGATGGCATTGGCTGTATGGAGCTCTGTTTACTTTGTTCAGTCACTGATACTCAAAAAACCCAGCATATCACCTGTTAATTCCATGCAGTAATACTGCTGCTGAAGAACTTCAGTGCTATTAGACTTTTGTGACAGAAAGACGCAAAAGAGAGGAGCACCATGCCCTTTATTTCCAAATGACAAAGCTAATCTGAGAGATTTGGTGAAACTAAAAGAGATTTGGCATCTTTACCACTTGTAAATGTCACAAGATATAAGGATAGTGCATAATCAAGCTACTGTAAATGTGGACAACATGGCAGCTGTTATTGTATCAATACATTGTTTAAAATTAGCATACCTCCAGAGCAGAGAGTATTGGGGTCTCCGTTCCTCACATCTTGGCGACGGAAACGTCTGTGAAATGTTTTAGAAAGAGAGAGTTTAATCATTTACTTTAGTATTAAGAAGTGCAGCAGGTAATTGTCATGTTTTGTTTGTTTGTGCTCAAAGTAGTGAATGGTCGTTTGGTGTGCATCACTGGTGTTTGGGTCACAGACCTCTTGGTGTTTGGCAGGTAGCGAGTACAGGATGTTCCATCCCAGGCACAGTATGGGTCTCTGGCCAGACAGCACTCAGCACAGGCCTTCCCATACACACTGCAGCGGTGAAGGGGAACCTGGGCAATGCCTGTGTTGGAGCCCACATATAGCTGTTGCTGTGAAAAGACAGACAATGGATGGACTGGCTTTAAAAGTGCTCAAATTGGAGTCGAAATCAGTTCCTGTGCTAGTGGTGGTCCATATACAATGTGGCGTTTTGATTTAGTACAGTGCATTTAAGTATAAGAGACTTACTCGCTTTGAGGAGATCTGCATGTTGATGATAGATGAGGCATCCTGAACAGCAGAGCAGATGCACCAAATTAATTTTTACACTTTATCAAATCAATCTGAATTATTAATGGCCAATGATATGAGACTTAGACATTTGGATATGCTGCAGTGTTTCCTGTGTCACAGGCTGCCATGCAACTCCAAAGCACAATATTTCAACCTCCCCTGTTGTCTTCATAAAATGCTGTTTCCTATTCTCCAGTGACACCCTTGGCGATTGTGGCCAGGCCAAATACTTCAGTTTTAACCTCATTTGTCCACAGCACTTGTTTCCAAAATGACTCTTGCTTATCCAGATGTTGCTTTGCATGCTTCAGACATTGACTTTTGTGATGATGTCACAGATGAGGTTTCTTTTTGATGACTTTTCCATCTACCTTTTCGTGCATCAGTGCTGCACAGTGAATTGAGAGTTCCTCTCAATTGCCATTTTGTAAGGACTGTGGGGATTATTTTGATATGCTTTTTAGCCCTTGCCTGCTTTGTAGGCATCAATTAGCCTAATTTCAGATCTCAGTCCATTGCTCAAGCGAAGCCCATAGATGTTTAATGTTACCACAAGGTTTAAAGAGTCAGATAATTTATAAGTTCTGGAAATGTCATCAGAGAAAAGAAATGCAGCTATGAAAGAGGCTTTATCATAGTTTTCTTACTTTGAAGACCTCTAGCTCTTCCAGTAGAAGTTCCTCCATGTTGTTCCAACTCTCCTTGGGGACACTAATCACCTTTAGTACTGTCCCTTTGTCTGAAACAAAAGGTGCACAATGCCTTAATATAGTGTTTAATTTGTGTTTAAATGTACTGTAAAGAGCTGACACAAAAAGTCATTCACCTGTCCCAATAAACATGACATCGTACTGTCCATCAGCAGCATTGACTCTGTCCACAGAGATCTGTGTGAAGCTGTAGTCCATGTTGGTTCTGACAAAGATGGGCCGCCGGTTCATAGGATAGACCGGATTATACATCAGAGGGTGGTGACGTGCAAACTGGATCACATCATCTGGGAAACCCTTAGTGGACTCAAAGCTGCCAAATGTCTTGCTGGGACACTAAAGTAAGATGGTAGAAATCAAGTTTAATTCATAAGGAGCAATACACCTTAAAATGTTAAACTTTAAAACATGTAGACTACCAACTAGGGGTGTGATGAGGGGGAGTGTTGTAGGCATGTACGACACGACCATGTTGTGACAAGTCAGTGTGAGTGGCTTCATTCACGTTTCCAGCCTGGGAGTTTCCATTGAGTTAAAATAAGTGACTGTGTAGTTTAAAGTCTGTTTTAATTACAGGTGCAGGTCAAGTTACAGCTCTTATGTCAGAGTACTTTAATAATCCAAGCAATCTACTTCTATTGTAAAGGATTTGTTATACTGTAGCTTTGAAGAGCATGACTGAATATGTTCCTCTCACTGAACCTTTGCCATGTTTGGACTCAGGCTTTCCAGAATGACTCTTATTTGATGAGTAAATTTGTTCTGTGTGTAAACTGGAATAAAATGTTTAGCTTGTCAACATTTCAGTTATCCTGAAGAGCATAAAGCCACAGTGCAGCAGGTCACAGTGATGTGAGAGATTTTCTCCAAGTCAGGGTCCAGCTTTCCTCTCTGGCCCTGGATTTTCATTCCAGGCTACTAACATTTTACCAAAATAGCTTCAAGCATTATGTAATATTTCTACTTTTTTCTTTTCCTATTTTCCAGCATCATGCAGTATTTGTGGTCCTATGGTAGATCCAGTTTGCTCATAAACTAACTTTTGATCTGGTTTATTTTTCATTTTAAACACTGAATCTGCTTACTATGCAGTTTATCAAAATTCACTTGTGAGCATGGCTGTTTTCTTTTAAACAGATTTGTTCCACTAGTTTGACAACCCAGTGAGGCGGTGATGGTGTGAGAGTGAGTTTACTGTAAACTAAACAGTTACACTTCTGCAGTCATACATTGGGGATTGTGGCAGTAACAGCTGAAGCTCTGCATAATGAATTCTGCTGATGCTACGCCTGCATGCTTAGCAGAATGTAAGAGTCCTCATGAACAGATATTGATCGGGAGGATTATGGAAGTGCTTTTGAATGAAATGAGGTCTAATACTGGTTACTGCAAGTGTAGCAAGTACCTATAAGGCTAATATAACAAGGATATTATTAAAAACATATTAATCATTTGACTTAAATATCATTATGTATTCAAGATATTATGTAATATTTACATATATTAAGTATAATTATCTGTTTGTTTTCGGTTTAAAAGTACTCGTTATGTGGAATCCCATCACACTTACTCATATAATATTGCATTATTGTTACTGATGCATTAATATGTAACCAATTTTGTGTTAATATTGGCTCAAGGTGGAGCAAAGTTTAACTTCTTCTTTAATTTATATCTATAGTTTAATCAATAACAATGCCTCACATTTCATATGATCAAATACTTTGTGTGTAAAATTTGAATTTACATAGTAATTATATTAGTCAAATGCAGTGTAATGCAATTGTGAAATGCAATATGGTAATAAATACATTTCCCTCTGCAGCGTAATAGAACAAAATGCAATTACCCAAGTAGAAGTACAATAACTTTGTAAATGCAATTTCATCATGTTGAAACTCTTGACACTAATTTACTAATGGGCCTTTATTGTAATTGACATACCATTCCTGGGCGGGGATAGGGCACTTTTCCCTGGAAGGGGACCCACTGGTAGTTAGGCCCCTCTTTGTGAGCGAAGGGGCCCAGGAAGGCCCTCCGGATGTCATTCATGGAGTAGAGACACACAGCTGAGCCTTTAAATACACTGCTGCTGGGGAAGATGGGGAGCTGGGGTTAGATGCATCTAAACACACACTCATTCCTTTCCTTTCTTTCTCTCTCTTTTGTGCACACACACACACACACACACACACACACACACACACACACACACACACACACAATATGAATGGACTCTGACCTGGAAGTAGAGAAGACAGTGTAGACCAGAGGGTTCTTTCTGTCCCTTGTTTGCAGCAGGAACACATCGCCTGAGGATGGACGCACACACACACACACTCTCAGGTCAAGTAGTGGTGGCATTGCGGAGGTCAGAGGTTGAGAGAAAGATAAACAAAGCCCTATGGCCATGTATAACAACCTTAAAAACACACTTCACTGATAAAAGAGGGTCATGATATGGAAGGAAATCTACCACAGCTTTCAGCTGAGGTTTGCAGAATTTATCTTTACAATATTATCCCATTAAATTATTTTCTTGCACCTCAGTCAGGGTGAGGACTAACCAGTGTGGGTGATGAAAGCTGTGGTTGTACTAGTTGTAAACAGGGCTTTTCTATGTACCGTAACCTGTAGCCCCACAAAATGTAGTTGGCTATTTAAAAAAAAAAGCTAGGTCAGGTTTTCACAACTGGTAGCAAGCTAGACATGCTCATGCTTGCCGCTTATAGTACGTTCAGACAGATAAACACACTGTCCATTCCTAGCACTTGTGTTTTTGGTTTTTGAAAAGCTAAACAAAAAAGACACTCTCCTGCAAACTCTTTAGACATAGACATATTATATCACTGTTATGGTACTCAGCGTGTGGATAAATCTAAAGATTGATGGCCTGCTTTGCCTATTATGGTTATGATTTGACAATTGCTTTTAAGACAAGGGATGCAGTGAAGGGTCAGTAAGTGCAGAGGAATACATGATTTACATGAAATCTTGAAGAGCAGGGATTTTTTTCCTATACTTGCACACTTTTTTTTCTTTTTTTTACTGTATGAAGATGTATTTTACAAAATCATGCATAAATGTTGCAGCAGTTTTAACTTTTAGTTGTGATTATTTATAAGTAAATTGCTTGGATAAACTGGCACCATTTGTGGAAGAATCCTAGTGGTTTAGAGTGAAACTGTATTTTTTTTATTATAGATATTTTCTTTTGCCCACAACTTATGCTTCAGAAATTGAGCCTCGCTTCTGGATCCTGTGTAATAAAATCGCATTATTGTTTTTAGTGATAATGATGACTCACCAGAGACGAGCTCACAACTTTGTATGAAACCCACAGCAAAAGCACTGGCTTTGCATCAGGCCTCAGTTTTTACCAATTAATCTCTCACACATGGTTTCTCCGGGTCTGCAAGAATGTGGGAATGATAATCTACAATTGAGGTAAAAAAACCTGGTTAATTTATTTTAGTTTCCTTGACTTTCTCTTTCTTCCACATAATGTGCTTCTGGGCACAAAGCAAGGCTGAAAAATCAGCCTGAATTTCAACTCTGTTATGTTTTTTTAATGGCAGAATCTGATTTCTTTATCATACTGCAGAATATTTTGGATTGGCAGCGTCAGAAAATGAAACACCTATGCTGGTTTTATTATTTGAGTTGATATGAAATTTACCAATCCATTACAATACCTATTGAAGCAAGAGTGAGGTCAAAAGTCAGCTGCCTTCAACTTTTACTCGAGTGTCCTCCCTTCACTTCACACACAAATGATGTTACATCATACTTTACCTGAAATAATTTAATTCACACATGAGTTGACACATGCCAGTATCTGTCCCACTGACTGTGTCCACAGTGAACTTACGCAGCTCGTCAAAGTATGTGTCGCTACCGTCGGCTCCCGGTACCGAGCAGATCAGACGGGTTTTGAGGAATGTCGTCCACTTGTTCACCAGACTCCGCTGACCGCCCATGTCATTCTGGTTTAAGACAAAGGAGGCAAGAATTGTTTAACAGGATATTAAATTTTAATTTGTTTTTACTGTATCTGTGAAATTGCCAGATTGGAGGACTTAATCAATGCTACCCCCCCCCCCAAAACCCAATTGATGTAAAATCCTGGACTTAAGTGATCCAACCATCTCTCACCCTGCAGAGTTGTCCAATGCGGGAGTAGGTGGACTTTCCCAGCCCCTGGGCCTCAACCGCCGTCTCACGGAAGAAGAAAAATATCTTATCATCATCAGGGTTTTCGCTCTCTGGGACCCAAAAGGACCCGACAAACTTTGGTTCTGGGAGACGTAAGCAAAGAGGAACAGTGTCAGTTATACTGAGTTTTTTTTCCCCCACCAGTCAGATTAAGTAGAACATATGAACTAAAGTGAAAAAGAACAGATACCTAATCTGACACACAAACATGCACACATACCACTGAGCCAGCGTGAGTCATGCTGTTCGGTGCGGATGGAAGGCCGTTTCCCCAGGCTTCTGAAGATGGTGAAGTCCCGTCCCATTAAGTCTGTGGCCACACCTGCATATAGCTCATCACCTAGGAGAAGGAATTATCGTTAACTTTTTTGCAAACTCCTAGTTTTATGTAAAAACCAGTAGTGAATGTAGAATTAACTCATATTAATGTGCATGGCTTTAGTTACCAACGAGCACAGAGGCAGCATTGTGCCGAGGATCATAGGGACTCTTCCCTTTCCCGTCTTCCACCATAGAGGGGTCAATCTTGAACACATGGTCCTGATGGAGAGACACGACATGGAGATGTGGATCACAAATACTGCACACTTTGTTTTGTGTGAAAATCATTTTTGGGTTGACATTTTAGATTTGAGATTTTGGCAGCATGAAGGGGCCAAAACAAATCTGAAACCTGGAACTTAAGCATGATGGATTTGTCTGTACACTGCCATAATTTACTGTCGCTTCTGCAGCGTCAGTTTGCTTTCAGTCAGTGTGTGTCTGAGTTTGAATAACCTTTTATTTGAGTGAGTGAGGGAAAAAAACAGAATGAAATCCAGTTTGTGTTTTGTTTTGTGTATTCCTCACCTCCATTCTGTGCCCCACCTCTACGAAGGCGCATGTGGGATGGAAGGCCCCGGTTCCACAGGCATATAGGTGGGTGCGGTTATAGTGATGCACGATTTTCACATAGTTCACACAATCAGACTGAAAGACAGACAGAGACCCACAGTGTCAGTTTACCTATGAATGGCAATTTAAAGGTCAATATTTATGTGTATGATTAAAGTGCTGCTTCAGAGCATTATACACACTTTGATCATAAAACTGATCAAATTCAAATGTCAAAAATCTGTTGGTGGCTGGTGTTTGTTTTAAAGGAAACACACAATGAGTAGCATTCAATTATGCAATATCAACTATACCTCAAGTTTCTTAACCCTCTGAAATTCACAGAAAAAGTGCCACAGATGTGACCTTAGTTTGCTGCAGCCCAGTTTAAACGTGATGGACAAATTAACATGACAGCATAAGACAAAGACAGAGTAAATCCAAAATCCACTAATGGAAATTGGACTCTTGCTCTTTTAGTTTGGAGATGAACATTCCTCACACAGTTGATCTCCCCATCTGCTTGTGACAGCACTGTCAAGTCCCCAACTCCAACTTCAACACACTGTTGTCACAGCCTTTGTTGCTTGGCTGTGCACACACATTCCTGTGTAGATGGGAATGTGCATGTGTCTGCTTGGAGTAAAATGGTCATTTGATCCTCCATGTGAAAGCACTGGACAGTCAAAAGAATAATAATCAACCTCTAGTATTTATGATGTTGACTAACATGCACAGTATAGTTTTTATACAATTCTGGCCAGAGTTCTACAGTGGGTCAGGTAAAAGCCAAAATAACTAGTAGTGAATACAAAATTGCAGTGGTAGAAAGTAACTAAGTACATTTACTCATGTGCTCTACTTAAGTACAATTTTGAGGTATCTGTGATTAAGTACCTTCATTTTCTGTTGCCCCATAGTTTTAATTACGGATCGGGTCGTATCACGGGTCTCATGTTAACGGGTCGAGTCTGGATTTCATTTAGAAATGACTCCAGATAACGGATTGGATCCAATACTTTTTATTGCTCTCCCTCCTTTATTCTCTTTCACACCAACAGTTTTCTTTATCATTACCCAGTCTTTTCTCTCCTCTTCTTGTATAGACAGCAGGTCATTGACCCATAGAAACATCTGTCCATCTTGGGGTCAGGTTACAGTCAGCTGGAGCTCAGGATACTGCTAGAGAAAAGATCTACTGTACACTAACATGTGTGTACCATCCATACTCTGTGCCTCAACACCATGCTTTGGTGAAACTGAAACATAGATTATATGATTATTATGACTATACCAGAGATATTACTTTGTTTCTGTGCTGTTGTCGCAGCAGCATTCAATTGCCCCCAAAACTAGTATACTCAATAAGAACTTGCTGTCTTTACACACCACTGTAAACACACGTATGTTTTCATTCCTTGTGGGAACTTTAGAGACTTGTCCTAACCTTAACTGTAACCACTACTTGCCTAACTTTAAACCTTGCTGTGTTACCAGTGACTTACATGGTGGGGACCAGCCTCTGGTCCCCATGAGGAAGCCAGAGTCCCCATAGTGTCAGTGTGTTAACAGGTTTCAGTCCCCATAATGTGAATAATGCCAAGGGCACACACATCTAATGTAACTATCCCTCCCTTTCTCTCCTGTCTACTTTTCCCCAGACAGGCCGTAGTAACATCTGTCTCTTGATCACGTTACAAACACAGTTAGGCCTGTGGAAGTCCCAGGAGGTTTATAAAGACATGAATCACACTGTCAACCACTGACTGGGATAATGAATAACCACCCATGTGTGTGTCTGTACCATCTGGCTAGTTCAGAATATTAGTCTTAATAAATGAGTTAATGATCATGTCTTTATTTTGACTCCATATTTGTGTCTAAATGGCTTTGTACAGCACATTATTGTTTTAATCTTCCAGTCTGATGCACAATGTAACTGTTATGGCTTAGTCAGTCTTTGTGTTGTATTTTTTTTATATTTCATAATACATTTGTGTTTTAGACTATTATAATCATTGCTTAGGGTTCCTTCAAAATAAAGTCAATATTTGTTTTTTCTTCTGTTTTGTTTTCTATCTACACTGTTACTCTCTTCCTTAATCAATGGTCTTTCTATATCTGTCTTTCAGCTTCACCCAAAGGAGATAGAGAGAAAAGCCAGATTGTAAAAGCAGTGACAAAAGCACAATTTGTGGCTCATTAGGCCTAACGTGCAGAGTGTGTGCCCACAGACACACACACATTTTCATCACTTCAGGGGCCATTAAACTTAACCATAACCACTGCTTGCCTAACCCTAGCCTTCACCTAACCTTAAACCAAGTCATCACTCTAAAATGTAATTATATAAGTTTTGTGGACTTGTATTTGTCCCCATAAGGACATTGAGTTTCCACAGTGTGACCGTGTAAATAGGTTTACATCCCCACAACATGAGTGCTATCAGGCCACATGTGCACAGATACACACAGCCCTCTATGGTGTAGAACAAAACCCTGTCTTTCGGTCTTTAAAACACACCAGGGAGTTATTGGAGTTAGTGTATGATTACATACATGTTTTCATGTGTGTGGCCTGTGTCTTTGTGTGTGTTTGCACATGAGAAGGTGTTCAACGAATCAATGGACCAATTAAACTATTGACAAGCACAAGAGACTTCTGTTTCCCTTGAAAGAAGGGGGTACACACACACTCCAACTTTACCTCTACCCTCAGGCTAACGTACAGGTTTGCACTATGTATCCATGCACACTTTAAACACACACCCCTTCACCCTTCCAAAAGCCATGTTCCTCTGATAAACCATACTTGTGCCAATTTTCCTTTTCTCATGATTGTGTGTTTCTGAAGAAAGGCAACCTCTTCAATCTAACTCCCATTGTATTTTAAGCCCTTAGTGTGTGTGTGTCAGTCCAGACGAAGGTGAGGGAGTCAGAAAAGTGGTGGGATGACGAAGTTCTTTGACTTGACAAAAGAGTTTAAAAGAAAAGGTAGGAAGAGAAAGGACACTTTGAAGGACTTTAAAATGTGGAAGAAGTGAGGAGAACAAGAGAAATGAATCACATTTCCTCAATGTATTTGTGTGTGTGGGTGGGTGTTGAGCTCACTAGTCGACCTTTGACCTGCCACTGACTGATTAGCTGAAACAGTGAGCAAAAGGCAGGCTGTGACCTCATTGGGGCCGGAGTTCTAAGTTTTGGCTTGACATCTTATAAAGCTGTATTGTTCTGCTGTGGAGGTTTTTGTTTTTCCTTTTCTCTCTTTCACCTTTCCGTTCTAGAGATGATTAACCTGACCTGCCTATGTATTATTTTAGCCATTATCTGTCCTGTTGCTGCTTCTCTCTGTTTCTGTACCTGTCTTATCTAAATTATTAATTCTAGCATTTTTATGTGAAATATTATGTATTGAGTTTTAAAATCTAAGTGCAAATGAAAAGTACTATTTACCCAAGATAACTCATGATCCTTTAAAGCAAAAAGTTGGAGGTTTGACATTTTCCCCAAATGATGTCATGTGTATTTAATACATCAGCATCCAGTAATGATTAAAAGGCTAGAAGTTAGAACATTAGAATAATTCTAGGTGCATGTAATTTTTATAAAGCTTTACTTTAGGCACCATTTCATCATCATTTTTTATCAACCCATACAGTATTTCTTAGTTATTTTATTGCATCATTGGATAGAAACAGAGAGTTTCTTTTTCTGTTTTGGCTGGGTATGAGAGCCAAGCATCACAGCAACCCAGGAATCTCTAATAAAGTTAATGACTGAGAGCCTTTAACTGATCACACTGAGCGATGTCACACAGTTGACAGCCTTTGGATACACAACACAAAGCAGTGTAATAGCTCAAGAACGCCTTTGATCTGCTAAACAGGACGATGCACTGTAATAACACTGACATTTGTGTGACATGTTTGTCCTGGACCAGAATGATTTTTGGATTCTAACAAACTGTACCGCTACAGTAACATCAGAGGAGATGGTCAGCTGAGGGGGATTTTGTTTTTGATTAATAGGATGGAAATGTTCCATTGTTATTAGTGGATATCATTGGTGTGTTAAAGATTTTCCACACTCATGATCTACACCAATGTAAACACTGAAAAGCCAGCTGATATTGCTCTACAGTCACATATTTGGTGACCACTGAGCAACTTCACTCACTACTTAAAGTTTAAGTCTGCCCTTGGGGGCAAGTCCCCAACAGTGTTCCAACTACAGCAGCAGTGCTAAATCTAAGCAGCTGTGCTTTTGTGCATTGACATGGGTGTTTGGATGGTAGTGCTGACTGGTTGTTCTGTCATTGTATTGTTTTTGTCTACACTGAAATATTGAATAAGTTGTCATGAAATTTTGTGAAGAGAGAAAAAAAAAAAATTCTGTTTTGTATTTGGACCAAAGAGACAGTTGGTTCATGGAGGGGAATGAACAAGTATATAGAAATGGTGGAAGGAGTTGGGGGGCTGACTGTAATTAACATGAGAAACTTCTGGTTCCAAAGGAAAAACTAATACAAAACAGAGAGGGCATGAAATGAGAGAAGGACTGAGAAAATTAGGAGAAATACACTTCACTGTATTTAGGGTCAACGGTGTGAGGTCTGTTCAATTCTCAGTGTGTGGGTGAGTGCTATACTAAAAGGAGCAAGAGGGGAGTGAGTGTTTAACAAAGATTTTTCAAAAAGTCAAAGCCAAGAAAAGGGGGAATAATAACTGACCAGTGGAACACGCCTTTTAATGCATCGCTTCTGAAAACCTTTAGGCTATTTCCTCTTTCTGTCCCTTCTTCCTCTTGAGCAGGTTTGATTATTCTATCTACCACTCCCCATCTTCACTGCTGGTTGTACTTTCAAACACACAAATAGGACACACACACACACACACACTCAGACAGACTCCTAGTCAGGTGAAACTGGGGACTAGCATTTTGTATGAATGGAGGTCATTGTCTGTCTTCTACAGCTGTGTAATCACACTGATTAAGGGTTTGTTTTAGTCTGCATAGGCTAATAGGAAGGTACAGTTTTACACGCACACAGATTTGTAAAGTTAACCAAATTGCAACATTTCTCAGTAAAATTTAGGATATTAGATGAAGCCACTAAATGCGCACTAAATGTACTGATTATAAACTGCTGCAGAAAAACACAGATGTCTTTGTCTAGGCATCAAACTGAGCAGATCTCTGTCAGATAGGGTTTAAGACAAACAGATTTTGAGGAAGTGATCTCACCACAGGGCAAATTCGCAAATCCAAAAGTAGGCGTGTTGCACCTATTATTACATGTTGTGTGTTCAAACATGGTCTCTCTGTCTTGTGATGACTCCCATGACTCCAGTGGTTTACAAGCTAGCATTATGTTGGCCTGGACTGATTTTCAAAAAAGATTTTATTTAATGCATTATTGTTTATGTACACTCTGTTTTAGTTAACACACTTGTTACAGAACAATGGATTCATGTACTAATCCACTGTTAAGATTGCTATTTTTTTCTTTTCTGTTACAGAAATCTAGTGTCACTTGTCAGAAAAGGGAGAAGCATCCATAGAACTGGGCCCTGTTCTTCATATGTGGATAACTGAATTATCCAGATTAGATTGTTGAAGATTTTTTTTGGTTCTTTGAAGATGGTTTAAACTCCATCTGGGCCTGCTGTCAAAGCAAGTTTTTAAGCCAAAATGTGCCAAAGTGCAGCTTACTGACAATTACGGTATCTGCATCATGACCAAGAGGCTCTGGTTTGATTCTCATGAACTCTTTTGCAGATACATCAGTAGAGAGGGATATAAAGTCCTGCTCCTGTGAATTTAGGTGTGATCAGATTGATTAATGGTGAGTCATGCTTCTGAGTCTTAGCCCCGCCCACATTTGACACTAGCTCAAAAGCCCAAACCCTAATTTCATATGTCAAATGATTTCGCATATCCGTGTTACTTTTGTACCACGTAACATTTTATTTTTAGGTTTTATAACAGTATTACTGGATTTTATTTGGGGGGGAGGTATTACTGTAGTACCTCCTAAGGTGGACCAGAAGCAGAATGAAAATGGCCTGCCATTCTGGCTTTGTGCCTTACACACAGAAAACGAAACAGAATAAAGGTGCACCAACCCCAACTCGAAAAGACAGTGGGTAAGGGGCTAATGATTGGTGGGAGGGTTCTCAACAGACCTACCTCATACAGCTGCAATCACATGATCAGCGCTCAGCCACTCAAATCAACTCTCCACTCATTTTACCTTTTATATGAAACGCAACACGATAAAACGTCATCCAGGATTAACTAACTCAAAGAACCAAATTATTCTAGATAAGAATTACTGTAATAGGAGTATTTTAGCCTGATAGCAGTATGTTATTCTGAATTATTTCAGACACATCTGAAGAGCAGACCCCTATGCTCTTTAGTAAATAAAAGTGAAATGGAGTAGAAACGGGGTGAGGTGAGCTAAAGTAAAGACTTACAGTGATGTCCTTGCCAGCCCAGTTACATTCCTCCCTCCAGTCAACGGGGGCGGGCCAGTAAATCTGAAACACAGCAAGCAAAGGTCAGATAATCCTGTTGCTGAAATCTGAATTTGTTATCTGGATTAATCTGATCATTTGAACTCTGCTTAATGTAATTTTTTTTAATGATCTAACTTTTAAAACCCCACACAAGTGTCTGTCCTCTGTAAATTAATAGTATGCTCATGAGCAAGTCACATCTCAAATGGCATTGCTTCAACTCACTTCCTTTCTTTCTCTTGCTCCCTCACCTGTTCTTTCCCATCTGCTTCTTTATTCTCCTTCTTATCCCCCCTTCTCACACCCACCCTCCCACCACACCTCTTAGAACTTCAGCTTTATGATGAATCTGCACATAGGCTATAAATCAAACTCGCCCATATACCTAAAACCACCAAAGGTTTTACATCTAACACACTAAATGTGTAACCTGCGTGTACTCCAAATAGCAGTGGATAGATGTTTGTAGTATATTTCACTAGTATGTCTTTATACAGTTGGTGTTTTTTGTCAGTGTGTATTTCCATATAATTGTCTGGTGTACTCCAGTATGTACATTAAAATCTGCAGAAGCGTTCTCAGTATATAGGCTATGACTCTTATACATTGTAAAGGCAAAGACTTCAAAGTTTGTCATTTAGATATTAGTGTTTGTTGGATAAATGCTTTCTTTTCATCTACATCTACCTCTTTGATTTTCTACCTTTTTATATTAATCCCACATTTCCCATTTCCCCTCTTACATATGAGGCCACTCACTTGAGTAGTCTCATATGTGCAAGAATGTGAGTCAGTCATTTTCAAAGGGCTATGTTGATAAAACGTGTTCATGCTTTTGAATGCTTCTCGTACTGCACTGATTTTAGATCCACAGGAAAACAAACTCGTAAAGCGTACAGGGCCTGACTTTGATAAACTTTGATAAATAACAAAGATAAACTTACAGCAGAAATACAATGATCCTTAGGAATTAAATAATATGGTAGTGGTTTCCTGGTTACAATTAAGAAACACCTCCTGATTTCCATTGCATTGTGTTGAATCCTCAGCAATAATGCCTGAGTCAGTATTGATCATCAAACCTTTAGCAGCTGGACATGTTTTACAGTTGTACAAGTTCTTTGACGGTGTTTCCGACCAACCTTGTGTTCCTGCTTGGCAATGTTGTCCAATGAAAGTGACAGGATAAAGTTCTTGGCCCCGACAAAGAGGCGGCCTCTTTCTTCATCTAACAGCAGAGCACTGAAGCAGCAGGAACGCTCCAGCTCGAATCGTCGCACTCCGTGGAACTGCTGCAGATCTGAAAATGCATACATATACAGGATTATAGAAGGTGGCACCTCTCAGTCTATCATCATGCAGCTACAGTACATGTGATACACTGGCATCATGTAGTACAACATACCCCTGCTTAATACACATTTTTTAGATTTTACAATTTTACTGTAAAAGAGTGTGCATGTCAGTGCGTGTATATTGATGTGAGTGTGCATGTGCCTTTGTGTTCATATTTGTGTGCATATACAGCAAGTGTTTCTGTATTGATATAAAAACAGTATAAATAATTCAGAAACGTTAGGTTAATTTGAGATAACCTTGCAAGAGTCCATTCAGAGCCAAGCTCAGAGCCATGATCAGGCTGCTATTATTACAAGATAACAACAAAATCTGTTGCCATATGTTCCTCCTGCTGTATGCAACTTGCAAACTCTAAGTTCTTTAAACTTGTATTGTGCTTTATAATTTATCGATGCTGTACGTCTTCTTTTGTCTTGAATAAAATAAGTACATTACTGGGAAACGCTGACTAATGCAATCAAAGAATCATTGCAAAAACAACCTCACGCCATCAGAGTCTTCAGATCCAAATCAGTTAGCTGGCTACAGGGCCACGACAAGTCATGTGGGTGACTTTGGGATACAATTTTTATTTCTGAGCTGTGTCTTTAGGGCAGTGACTTGTTAACACTCAAAACAAAATCCTCATCACTGACACTACATTGATGTTAATGGAAAAACTGAGTGTTCTTGTTGTTTTCAAAAAAGTCACCAGAATATGTCCTGGGGAAACAGTTCCTAGAAAAAATCAGCTTGTATCTGTAAACTTGAGCTATAATAGTCACCCCAAGTCAGTGGAAAAAAAGTGTGTTCTTGGTCTAAGAAGCTGACAAAATAAACAGACTGCGTCCTTCCCTGCCGACCTGACTGAAACCAGGAACTAAAATTAAAAAAAGAAACCAGGCCCTCTGTACCCATTCAGCAGGTAGCCACAACCTGTTTACCTCCTGTCTAAATAAAATTAAAGCTATTTTACTTGTGCATGAGGCAGTCAAATGATCTCTTCTAGCCCTTTATGTGTTCACAAAAACTAAAATCTTCTTCTGAATTCTCATCTTGTATGTTACATCTTGCCTTCAGTCAAAACTAAAGGCAGCACATAACTCAGCTGAGCAGATAGCCTTCACTGAGCCTCACGTCCTTGGTGAGTTTGTTCAGGCTGTAATTGCTGGTTTTCAGAGATGGAGCACATCCCTGGTTTATGTGGTTGTGTTGGGCATTGAGCTGCCTCCTTCTAACTTACAGCACAATACCCAAGATGAAACACAAAACCCTGCCACTGTGTTTTTAAGCTGTGTGTGTGTGTGTGTGTGTGTGTGTGTGTGTGGCTGTGAATCCCAACAACCACAAATTACTGTACATCTGTACTGTAGAAAAGGATATAGCTGAATATCACATGAAACAGAAAAAGTTTGTGTGTCTACAGAATAAACTTTCATAGCTATTATGGGCAGTGGAAGAAACGGACTCACATGTACACCCACATGAATAAACCACTGCCTTCTTTATACAGAAAGGCTCCAGCTTTGGTTCTTACCTTTGTATGAGAGTTTCATGCGTGGTGAGGAGGAGGGGGATGAAGAGGAAGTGTGGATCATGGTGCCGGAGGAAGCATGGGCGGCAGCCAGGCCCAGCAGAAACAGAGAGCTGCAGGTGACTATCATGGCCACCATCATCATCATCATCTTGGCACACAAACCCCTTCCTTCTAATGGTCTAACTTGAAAATTTGAGTCTGTGAAGTGATTTTATCGTGACTATACTTTGGCCTTTTAATGCCTGATATTTGTCTTATTTTCTGAGTTTTGTTACAGCTTTGGTTCTGATTCAGATTTTCTGTGTATATTAGATGCAGTCTCTCTGCCCTTGGACAGGTTTGGTTTGGGCTTGGTCCTTTTTTGGCGAGGAGTCAGGGTCAGCTCAACCAAGCACAAACCGGAATCTCCCTCTTGTTGTTTGTTTTAGCAGAGCTTCAGCCTCTTTCATTCGTCCTTTACAGCTCTAATATTCGGTGTAATCTTTTTTTAGACTTCTCTTGGCAGATCCACTTCTCTTCCCATGAAGGATGACCAAGTTCACCTCTCACATCCAAAACGGGACAGAAACGTCACACATAGGCAAAGGGACCTAAAAATAGGGACAGAAAGGGAGAGGATTCAGAAGTGGCCATTGCTAATATCTGTGTGCTTGTGCCAGGGATGCCCTCTGTGCACACATACATACACACACACACCGATTAATGAGATACCCCATGTCCACTGCCACTGCCAAGTCTGTCTCACTGTCAACTCACTGATTGCATCCAGCAGCCCAAAACAAGACTTCTGGCTTTTGTAATAAGATTTGGTATCAATATTGAATTACACAGTAATAGATACCATAAATGACAGTACAAGTTGTCCAAAAGCTTCAAAATGTTTTCTGTAATCTTGTTTACATGCAGCTTCTATAATCTCTTTTTCCTAGTATGCAGGGACTTGCTGTCAGTTGAGGACTGTCAAGCAGTATAAAATGAGCTGTATAAAGTTATATGAGAATTGGAGTTGAATGTAAAGTGGTAGATCTGTGATTGCTTCCGAAAAATCCTTAATAACTTGGTGTCTTGGGTTGTGAGCATAATGTTGTAAACCACAACGCTACCACAGCAGCACCAGGAATGAGATCACTAGTTTATACAGTAAGCCTACATGTATATGAATGTTGAGTTGTAAAAAGGGTGCACGGGACACACGACTCTCTTTTAGGACTCTGGACTCTACAGTCCGCCATAACAATGAAGCCTTTCAGTAGAAACAGTCTCCTTTATTATATTACACCTCACATTTGGCATTAAGTCAATAACAGGCAGTCTGCTTTTCACATTCAATCTGTTTCTTCTTCAACTTCTAACAACTGTACTTCATCTACTTGTCACTCCAAATGCCCCTCTCACTGGAGTGAAATTAGCTGCTTGACCCATACTAGGTTTAACTCTGCTTTTGTACTGCAAACTGAATGTGTAGAGCACACAGGAGGCCGGACATGATGCAGCCATGTAGCCAGTTTGTAATTTGGTCATAAACAACCAAGTCTCTTGCCATGTCTTAAGATTCTGGTACTGGCTCTTAACAGCCACAATCTTGTTGTGTCTCCAAATGGTATCTTCATTGTAAATGCCTGTCTTTTTTTGGGCTCACTCCAGCTCACTCAGACCTTATGCGGACTTTGTATTAGGGAGCTGGCAGAGTAAAGTCAGCTTAAGGTTCGGGTCGACTTACACTTGCATTTTCATATACAGCTCCTCCCGAATAATGTATTGAGTTCCAGTGCATGTCTGAAAGTAGCTTTAATTTGGCCTGAGCTAGCTAAAGTGTTGCTAACTGGAGCTGATTGTCAAATGATCATTAAAAGTATGCATGCCCTCCTTCTCCAGAACCTGAAGCCACATATGTATATTTGGGTCTCTGGGTGCTGGTGACGGGAGTGCACTCTGCTGCTGTTTTTTACAACTCACATGTTCATGTAACATCTGTAACATATATTTTGTTCATGTATCTTGTTGGTAAATTCTTATGGATGTGCTCTGAGAATCTTGTGACCTTGAATCGGCAATTATCGACTAGAGCTGACTTCCCCTTTTCTGCCATCTCTGGTCATTGAGGAAGACTGAGTGAAGTGTGGTTTTGATGTGGTCTTTGGTGAGTGCTAAATTAAGCCCATTCATTTGATACTAGGATGTCTTCACATTCTTTTCTGGCTCGAGTATCACTGAAAGCTCCAGTAATCACTTTTAAGCACACATATGCATACCAAAACACAGAAAGATGCGAACTCACACACACTGCTCACACAGATTCACACAGTCTGTTGGCAAAGTGTTTTAATGAATAATGGAGCTATTGAGGCGTGGAGACAGGAAAGCTCTCATAAGCTCACAGCTCCCAGGCCATAACACAACAGGACAGAGCTGAACAGGAACATAAAATCCCACATACTCTGCAGTATGTAAACTCACACAGATACACACACACACACACACACACACACACTTGTGAATGGACAAAAGAGTACAGACAGGCTTTGAACAGCACACAGCCTGTCATCCACTGCCACAGCTCACTGTTTCAGAAGTGCACAAAGAGGTGTTGTAAGGGCTACTTTTATAGTTCTGGTGTGCTAAGTTCAGGTGTGAATTGGAAAACATACAGTAACATCTCTCCTGTTCAGTGTCAGGGAAGTGATTATACAGGCAAATGTATCAATAACCTGTGTGTGTGAGGCAACAAAGAGAGAAGATTGTGTGTGTGTGTGTGTGTGTGTGTGTGTGTGTGTGTGTGTGTGTGCTAAAGGTTGCGTGCTGGGCCA